TGAGTTCCAGTTTTCACCCACAATCTGACGGACAGACGGAGCGCTTCAATTCTATGCTAGAAGAATATCTTCGGCACTTTATCTCTACTTCGCAGAAAAACTGGGTAAAACTTTTGGATGCGGCCCAAATTTGCTTCAATGCCCAAAAGAGCTCTTCTACCAATAAGAGTCTTTTTGAGATTGTTACTGGCCAGCAATCGCTACTCCCTCATACAGTGGATATCGAACGAAGTACCAAATCCCCTCAAGCAAAAAACTTTTCTCAAGAGTGGAAACGAAATATTGAAATTGCTCGGAGTTATCTTGAGAAAGCTCAAAAAGGGTATAAAAAGGCTGCAGATCTAAAGCGCCGTTTCATTGAATTCAATGTTGGAGATCTGGTAATGGTTAAGCTTCCCAACAGAAATATTTACAAACCAACAAGAGGGAAGGATTCAAGATTGTCGCCAAAATACATTGGACCATTACCCATCGTGAAGAGGATTGGAAGAATTGCATACAGAGTTGAACTTCCTTCATGATATAAAATCCACAAAGTCCTTCATGTTAGTGTGTTGAAGCCATACTTTACGGATAAGGAGGACGCATCTAAAAATGAGTTAAAGCGACCTGTGTTTGAACTGAAGAAAACTGGAAAGAAGGTTGCTGAAGCTATTCTTGACCATCGAATCACTCGAGCTTCTAGAAAAGATCATCAGGAGTACTTAGTCAAATGGATGGGATGTAGCAGCGAGGAGAATACTTGTGAAAGAGAAAAAGATCTCGGAGCCTTCAAACCATTAATTGAAGCGTATCATGCATTGATGGCACCGAGGACATCGCCAAAACAAATGGGGGAGAATGTCAAGGACTGCAGCTTTACTTAGCCCCTTGACACTATCGCAACCGCAGTTTGCCCAACTTCGACCGTACATTGTAAATATTACTTCAAGTCTGAGTTGTAATTTTCTTTTCAATGTAATAGTTATTTCAGTTGTAAAATAGCTCTGATATTGGTAAACATTTAGCATGATTCCTCGTCTTTTAAACTTCTACTCCTGTCACTTAGGTTTTTGTTCAGAATGCTATTATAAGGGGTATTAGTCATCCAAAAAATTTTCAAGCTCACTGGCGTCCGCCCCCTACATCAGCAATTGTAATTTTCTGCTTTCATCAATTGTAATGTTCAGTTTTCATCAATCAATATTCAATTTACTTTTAATGTATTCAAATTCTCTATTGTAAGCTTTCTACAAAATTGTAATCAAATTTTCTTTCATCCCGACGCGATCGAGAAAAGGCGGAAGGTAGTCTAGTGGAGCAAACTACTGCCGCACGGTGTCCCTTTCTATGCTAAGAAGAAAGGCACCCCGTGAAACCGAGATATGGCACAAGAGACTTGGTCACTGTCACTTGCAAAGTGCAGCTCATGAAGAAAAAGGGACTCACAGTTGGCTTACCAACCTTTGGAGATCACTTACTCATTTGTCATGCTTGTCACTACGGTAAACAAAAGCGGAGACCATTCCCAAAGTCAACTTGGAAAGCAACTCACAAGTTGCAGCTAATCCACACAAATGTATCCGGCCCTCAAAGAATTCTATCATTAGCAAGTAGTCGGTATTACATTGCTTTCATTGATAATTTTACAAGAATGTGCTAGATTTTTTCTTAAAATACAAGTCAGAAGTGGCTAGAGTGTTTTGGAAGTTCAAGAAAATGGTGGAAAACCAAAGTGGCTTCAAAATTCAAGCTCTAAAGTCAGACAATAGAAAAGAATACACCTCAGAAAAATTTAATTTGTTTTGCGATCAGGTGGGCATAGAACACCAGCTTACGGCTCCCTATACTCCACAACAAAATGGAGTTAGTGAAAGGAGTAAGAAATACATAATGGAGATGACCAGATGTATACTTCATGATAAGGAATTGCCAAAAAAGTTTTGGGCTGAGGCAGCAAGTACTGCAGTTTTCATGTAGAACAAATTGCCTACCAAGGCATTAAAGGATAAAACTCCATTTGAGGCATGGTATGGCTATAAACCTTCACTCAATTTCCTTAGAGCGTTCAGTTGTATGTGTTTCTCTCACGTTCCACAGGTCAAGCATGACAAACTGGACAAGAAGTCAGAACCAGGCATCTTTGTGGGATACAGTTCTTCCTTTAAGGCCTACAAGGTGTATCAACCTCAAACATGGAAGATAATTGTCAGTAGGGACGTGCTCTTCACTGAAGATGAGAAGTGGAACTGAGAACAGGCACAAGAAACATTCGCAAGCAAATCGAAATCAAGCCTCCCCATCCGAACAACAAAGCCCCTGAATAATGGCAAGAAGATTTGGAAGATAAAACCACAAATTCGTGGAACAAGACCACTTCATGATATCTATCAAAGATGCAATGTGGCCATTTGTGAGCCTGCGAGTTATGAAGAAGCCATTAAAGACCATAAATGGAAGAAGGTAATGGAGGAGGAGTTGTCAATGATCAAAAAGAACAAGACTTGGGAGCTAGTTGATAAACCGAAGGATAGAAAAGTCATTGGAGTGAAATGGGTGTTTAGAACCAAGCTCAATGCTAGTGGATCCATCAACAAACATAAAGCTAGGCTTGTTGTCAAGGGGTATGCCCAAGTTTTTGGAGTAGATTACTCGGATACATTTGCCCCTGTTGCTATACTAGACACTATACAGCTAGTGCTAGCTATAGCAGCTGAAAATGTATGGAAAGTGTTCCAGTTAGATGTAAAATCAGCCTTCCTAAATGGTCTACTACTAGAAAAGATATTTGTTGAGCAACCAGAAGGATTCTTTGAAGAAGGCCATGAAGACAAAGTGTACCTACTTAAAAAGGCTCTCTATGGCTTAAAACAAGCGCCTAGAGCCTGGTATAGTAGGATAGATGATCATCTATTGAGCTTGGGTTTTACAAAAAGCCTATCAGAAGTCACTCTTTATGTCAAGAAAAAAGGGAATGACATTCTTATTGTGTCATTGTACGTGGATGACTTGTTGGTGACAGGTAATAATGCCAAATTTGTTGATGAATTCAAGCAAGAGATGATGCTGATTTTTTATATGATAGATCTTGGTCTAATGATATATTTCCTTCGTATGGAGATCAAACAAGATGAAGGAGAAGTTTTCATTTGTCAAAGAAAGTACGTTAAAGAAATACTTAAAAAGTTTCATATGGAGGAACGCAAAGTAACGGCTTCACCAATGAGTCAGAAGGAAAGCTTAAGTAAGGAAGATGCCACAAATAAATTCAAAGAAGGCTATTTCAGAAGCATAGTTGGATGTCTAATGTACCTAACTGAAACTAGGCCAGATATCCTTTTTGCTATAAGCATTCTCTCTCGTTTTATGCATTGTGCTAGTGAAATGCGTCTTAAAGCAGCAAAAAGAGTCATTAGGTACATCAAAGGGACTATTAACTTTGGTATAAAATTCAGGAAGTGTTAAAACTTCAAGTTGATGGGATTTTCTAACAATGATTGGGGTGGATCCGTGGATAATATGAAGAGTACGTCTGGGTACTACTTTAGTTTAGGATCTGGTGTGTTCTCTTGGTGTTCTAAGAAATAAGAGATTGTAGCACAATCTACTACAGAGGCTGAATTTGTTGCTGCTACTGCAGCAGTGAATCAAGCATTGTGGCTAAGAAAATTGTTATGTGATTTAAATTTGAAACAACTGAATGATACGGAGGTATTTGTGGACAATCAGGCTGCAATTACAATATCTCATAATCCGGTTTTTCATGGAAAAACTAAACATTTTAAGATTAAGCTATTCTTTTTTAGAGAAGTGCAAAAGGAAGGAGATGTGAGCTTAGTTTATTGCAGATCTGAAGATCAGCTTGCAGACATTTTCACAAAACCTCTGCTAGCAAACAAATTTGAGCTTCTTAGGCAAAGTCTTGGAGTTTGCAACTCCTAATGCAAGGAGAAGTGTTGGTTATTTGCATCAAGACCACTACCTACTTGATGCCCACGTGTTCCTAGGTTGAAGGATTTGGTTAATTTGTTATAACGTGCAGTAAGTCATGGCCTGATTCATGGCCACTTTGGTAGTTGTTCAATTTTTCTTTTTTCTATATAATGTAAGCTTGATGCATTATGAATGCAAGTTTCAATTCCCGTATATCTTCCTCCATTTTTCTTAATTTTGCTCTAAGAAATATCATTTATCAAATTGTTCTTTCATCTTTAAAACTAACAGATATAGCGTGGTTTGTCTTGTAGTATTGTCCAGATGATAGGTCTTATGACTTGTCATAGTTTCCAAATTTCTTAAGTGGTTATGAACCAGAGGAGAATCTGAAATTGAGAGACTTATATTTCGAAGTCTAATTTGCCTTTAATCGTGTATCTTTTTACAGATGTCAATGATAAAGCCTCGTTCTCCTAAATTCCAAGGAAAGGAAGCATCCAGAATCCCAAGTGTTGATTCAAGACCATCTTGAAGGCTTTCAGTGAAGATGGGTGATTCAAAGAACGTTGCAGGAAAGAATAGACCCCCTCAGGTCAATGAGTCCAAGTTGTTTGCAAAGATAAGTATGAATGAATACGTCTCCAAATATCCAGTCTTGAGCATATTGGTGCTTTGTCATATTATGTACTAGAAAGGAAATGAAGTTGTAAAAAATAGATTTTACAGCAGTTTATGATGAAAAATAGTTGTTAGATAGCACTAGGCAATACATTAGATATCTATCATCCATACGAAGTTCTTTAGGATTTAGATTGCTGTTTTCACTTTTCAACAGGGGCTAGAGTTAAGATAACAGATTTGCTCTTCTAACACCTTCGTGTATTTTCTAGCCATAAAAGTGCAAAAGATTTACCAGTTCTGTATTGTACTATCATTGCCAGAAATTTTTTGATAATGGAAATTTCTCTTCCACTGTTTTCTTAGTTTTTCCCATGACCAATGCTACATGTACACGGAAAATGTACAAATAGATTTACGGAGTGCCACATGGCAACATATCATTAAATTTTGAACAAAAAACATAGTTAAAACAGTCAATCAAGTGCTGCCATTTCATCACTTGTAAAGTTGCCTATGCATTTCCCTGTACAAGTATCATTTCTGTCTCCCATACCATTAGATGCAGCTACATGTTCTTAGGCAAGTAAATAGACACTTGGAACATAAAGCATTTTGCATCTACCGAGTTTGAGAAGTACAGATTGATCTATAATTTTCAATTAAAGAAACTTTGTTAGTCTCCCTCTAAGGGAGAACACAGACGAGAGAGTAGAAGTTCTTGAGAAGCTTCCTTATTAAGCTTAATATTTGCCATCACCTTAGGGTACATGCTTAATAGTTCCTTTACAAGCCAGGCAACTTGAATATCAGAAAGATGCCTACTCTCATTGATGATATCTAACAAGCAAATTTGCTGATTAAAGTTTCAGGCAATAAATAAACCTTGGTCCATTACAGGATATTCCATTGCCTCACTTTGATTCCCATAGTCGAAATTCAGTGAATCATACAAGAGGGGTGGAATGTCAGCAATAAGCTCTTGATTACTGTGAGCAAAAGATTCTATAGTCTCAAATCCAGCATTCTGTGGATGAAAATCACCTTGAGGAGAATAACCTTGAAATTCCTCGTCCCACAATCTGAAACCTGATCCAATTCCAAGGATTAGGCTTCTCTGTGAAGAGTCGATATCATTAAGTAGAATATGTTCTAAGCTGTGATTCTTCATGTTCCACACAGAGCATGGAATCGGCTCATATTCTTGACAGACTGTCAAAAGGCTTTCGGGTTGGACAGAAAACAACTCAGCTTTACTTTCAACTGGATTTACTATCCCGATACCTTTGCTTTTTCTTTTGCTTTTGCTTTTGATGCAGTTATGCCTGATGTCTACTTGTTTATCTTTTTCGTCAGCGGAAGGTATCGGATGGTGGGAGAGAATCGGTTCTGTGCAATCCACTTGGATGTGATTCTTAGACAGTGGAAGATGACTGAAACTATTCTCAGAATGGAAATGTGGCTTGTTTTCTTGTTTGAACTGAACCGGTTGAACTTCTGCACTCCAAGATTGCGACTGGAACTGTGGCTTATGTTCTTGCTTGAACTGCACAAGTGGAACTTCTGTCCAAGAAAACTGAGCCGGGACCTTAGGTTCGTATCTCACATTCGAACCAATTTGTCCGGAAGAGTGGTTGAGGCCGGTTATTGAATTGCTGCTTTTCTGGGGATCAGTTATGACTCCAATTAGTTCTTCCTTTGATTCAGCCATTTGAACTGAAGCAATCTTCATATCCTCCCCACAAATTTTGGAATCGACACTCTTAATAGGGATCTTGTTTCCACAAACAACATAGCTTCCATTTGTATCGTTATTTTGTGGCGCAGTGCTTGAATTATGAAGGCAAACATTATCAGCAGTGTCTTTTGTAGAGACGTCCGATGGCTTCATCCCACTAATCGAGGCTTCTAGCTCATTTTCTTTCTGCAATCTACTCAAATAGAGGCGATACTTCTGAAAACATTAAAAATAATACTTCAGAATTTTAGTTATCGTAATTTTGAAGACTCTTTATCATCTCATTCCTACGTAGAGTACGTGAAATGCAGACAGTATAAACAGGTAAAGATGGTTTTTTTATCAGACAATACCTTCAAGTTGGTAATAGTAAAAGAAGTCGAATAATGTTTACCTGCAAATGGCTAGCAACATTTTCTCTTGTTAACCAGGGCACTCCCATCAAGTCAAGTATTTTCTTAGGGCCAACTTCTATCAAACATTAACAAGTACAAGGTTTTTGTTAGAACCTAGGGTAATAAACAATATCATCTATAAAATTAAATGAAAAAGAAATGCCTTCATAATAAAGATAGAATGGATGACTGAAGAAACGAGCAACTTACTATCAAATCCAAACTGATTTACAGCTTTCACAAACTTCTGATGAAGATCGACAGTCCAAACTACCCGAGCTTTCTTAACAGATGACGGATCACCAGATTGTCTATCGTCCTGCTTGAAGTCAACATCTTTTCTTTTCTTTCCTGTAATCAGATCGGCTCCACAAAACAAGTAGCCATCGTCAGATTGTTCCATACCATTTCTCATCATCTGAATTTCTTCGAGGCCTTCATGACTTTCAATATATCTCACCTCGTGTATCCTTTTTCTGAAAACATGTTGCCATATGTTTCGAAGCTCTTTCATTCTTATTGGCTTAAGAAGATAATCGCATGCACCATGTTGAACCCCTTTCATCACCCTGCTTGTTTCTCCGTCAACAGACATCACTGCATAGGTTCATTGATTACGGTTTAGTGTTTTCTATCAAAAGTAGAATTGACAAGGAAACACAAGATACTTTTAATTTGGTATGCACAAACATATATAGGCGACAAGAATACTCACTTATAACGGGAAGATCCATTTCTAAACCGACATACTCTAGAAGCTTGAAACCATCCATATCAGGCATATTGACATCACTGATTACAATGTCAAATCCGTCTTTTCTTTCTCGGAGCAATTGCAGAGCCTCTTTTGCAAGATTACATGTTGTTACTGAAACTCCCCCCAAAATAAAAAGAGAAAGCAGTTGAAATGGTTGCGGATGTCATGTTGTTCAAAATGTCAAAGAACAAATTTAAAAGTTCAAATACAAGTTGCTGAAGAAAACCCTCTTCAGTCTTCTCACACTGTTCGATACATGGGGTATAATATTGTACTGTTTATGAAGTTCAATTGCAGAAAATAAAAGGTACTATGCTGACAGGGTAACATTAAGAGTAATGCTTTAATCATTTCCGTGCAGAAAGAGAACCTTTCAGTACAATGTCACACTGCATAAATATTTTCGGTATACTGGCATGAATCTGAAGACTGCATCCATAAATTGGCGACTTTTCGACGAATACACAGTGTTCTGCTCTCAGATTAGACGATCCTAAGTATTTTCTAGAAACAGAACCAGGATACAGCGTCAATTCACAGCTATGAAGTGGGAAAAAAGAAGAAGAAACAAATAGGTGCCTACTATCAATGATTAAATGAAGGTCTAGAAGAGCCACCATGCAGAAAAGGCTTCAAACTGGGGAACTAAACAAATGGATAGAGAGACTCAAAGTAGATGTGAAGATTTAAATAGTTAATTTTAACCATAGTGCAATCATTTTGAGTCCTTATGGGGCCACATCGATACTCATTAAAAAAGCAAAAACTATGCTCATAAAAAATAAATAGTGGACAAACTAATGTTTACAGCTCAAGATAGTCCATATGGGTATTGTTCATCCATGGGCGTTAAAGAAAGTGACCAATAAGTTAAAGTATATTCCTAGAGTTCATCATCTTCATACACATTGGCTCTTGATCAAGACTCAGAACTTCCACTTCTAATATCCCAAAGTAAACTCTTAACAGATTAGGGACACTTTCATCTAAATGATTAATCGAGAGATTACAAGACGTTGGACATAGAACCTGCTGAAAACATTTTCACCAGAAGTAACAAAAGAAAGAATTTGGGTCGAGCTGGGATTCTATATTGTGTATTACAACTCGATTTTTCTAAGTATACACCTCAGGTCCATCAGTTGATGAAAAACTTGACCTGAATTTAAAAAAGGTTAATTATTTTGGAGGAGAATAATTCCAATTAACAAATATAAAGACTAAAACAGACGAAGAGAACAGGAAATATTCTTGGTCTTCGCTTGTTGGTCTTGTAAAGTTCGAGCAGAAATAATTGGTCATTCAATATTGTGAAGTAATCGAGACAAAATCGGAAAGAGATATGAAAATCTTTCTTTTTCAAATTAAATCAAGCAACAAATCAATAAGGCATACTTTTGGTATCATTACACAATTGCACAAGGATGAAACTCAAAACTTTATATCTCATCACTGAACTTCACCAGGAACAATCATACTATAACCAAGATATATAACTTTCGAGCGAAAACACATAAAAAATGGAAAAGAAAAATGAAAATTCAATTCCAAAACGAAGCAAGTCATAGTTGCAGACTTTAAGCTCCCACAAAAAATCAGTATGTGAAGTGTTTTTCAGTATATATAGTACTGGATAGGACAAGACAGTATAATAAATAAGATTTTAGCATTTTCTTCTTGCAAAATACCAAACATGAAAAAATAAAAGTAAAAGTAAAAAATAAAACTCAGATAAAATGTCCCGTATACCAACTCAAAACCTCAGTATAACACAAAAATAAACCCCCAAAAAATCAAAGGAACAAAAAAAATGAAAATTAACTTTGAACAAATATGTCAAGAAGATAATCCACAGTAAATAACTAGTACAAAACATGAAAAAAGAAGATAATTGCACTGATAAACCATGTAATAAAAATAATATCAGAATCACTGAAAAAACTGATAAATTTATTCGAAGAGAACCTTCATATGAACACTTCTTGAGCATCTTCTCAAGAATCTTCAACCAGGTGGAATCATCATCAACAACAAGAACCCTAAGACCTGCCGGAAAAGCATCTGGTCTCGGAGAAGAAAACCCAGTAGTCTCCATCAAGAAAGTTGAGATTTTTCAGCAGAAAGACAGTAGATTCAAGTACTGCAGAAAGATATACAATACTATATAAAATGTACACTTACTTATGTCTAAATTTTAGTAGTGTAGCAGAGAGAGACAGAGAGTTAAGAATTGGGAGTTAAAAAAAAATGATGGAGTTTGTGGCTTTTAAGGGAAGAAGAGAGCAAAGAATATTTGGCGCCGACGGTATATCGACGTAGTTAAAGGTCCATGGACATTTGCTCACGCCCTATTGGTCACTACGTAGTACACAACTTACAACTTTCATTGCATGTGTTTATGCTCAATCGCTAGTTACCGATAATGAGCTAATTTTAAACTCGAATCGCAAAATTAGAGTTCTTATGTATGAAGTCCAAAATGTCAACAATCTTCATGTCTAAAAATATGACAATAAATTTGATCACGATCGAAAATCGTAAATACGCACAACATCGTGTTTCATTTCATGTACTTGATAATGCTATTTTTGGATGGAAATACATTTTAGTCATCTTCTCCGTGGTTTAAAAAGAGTAAATCACATATTCAAGTATAAGACATTATTGTTAGTTTCGTAAAAATTAAATATCCAACCTGCAAAGATATATCTTCCATTATTAGATAGAACATGCATAAAAACCTTATAACCTTTGTTGTTGTGCTAAATTCAGGTCATGTTGAATAATTGATATTGGACTCTTGCAATTAAAATAATTTAAACTTGAATAAAACTTTACTATTAATTTTAATACCTTAATATTTCTTTATTGTCATGAATTTATATTATATTCAATGAAAAAATAATGGACAAAACCAAGAAACTTTTAGTCTTTGTTGACCTGAATAATAAATATAATTAGATCCTAATTAGTAAAGTTTACTCTAGACAGTTTACTAATTGATTAATATCTATGCAAGTACTCCAACTAAAGAGATGGTAATTCTTTAGACATTAGTAGTGTATAATTCTTTACCCGATTAATGAAATTGTTGCAATATGATGAAAGACAAACGAGTGTCTTGTAAAATCGAGCATCATTTCTTATTTGTACTTTGATCATAAAATATTGGACATACTGTTGAATAAATCATCTCAATCTTCATAGAAGAAAGAATATTGATCACGAAGTGGCATCTGAAAAAACCTTAAAAAGTTTGTCAAGAATTTAACCTTTATGAAGCTGGAAAGTGAAAAAAGTGTCTCCACCTATGTTTGCTTTATATGGACAAATAGCAAGACAAAATATCGAGTGTTACTTTCATGTTGAATATCATAATGAAATTTGAGTGTTACTATCACGTTGAAAATCATCATGAAATTTTTATTCATATTTATTTGTTTCAAGAGCATGAATCATATTCGTCGTAATGTTATTTTTTTACTGTAAAATCATTTATTTTCAAATGAAAAATTTAGAACATGCACCTAAACCTTGGAAAGCATGCTATTCTTTCGAAGTAGAATAATTATAATTTTGAAATCATTAAAGCAGAAGCACTATTTTTTTCACCTCTTCAAAAGCACAATCAAACATATTTCCTCAAGGAATGCTAAAGCAAATTTAATTAGTGACCTCAAACTAATTAAGCAAATAGTTGAGGTACAACTGGTTGACAAAGAAGCTTGTTAAGGACCACTTTGGCACTATGATTTTCACTATCTTGTGTTAAAATCTTATAATTCAAGATCAGAGGCGGAGACAAGAGGGCTAAGTCCATTTATTTTTATATTTTTTTTATATAAGAATAAATTTGTGGATTTTTTTTTTCTTTTTGTATTAGTCGAGTGCAAAAAAAAAATAAATAAAAATAAGAACGGCCCTTTCCTAATTTCTTCTCTGTACAAAATGTGTCTAGTAGATAATATTAAATTAAATTGTGCATAAAGTTGAATAGAATTTTAACCATTTTCTAAAAAAATCCATCTATTAGATATGTCTAAATCACTAAATCTTAAATCTAATCCTATTGTTAGGTCTCTATTTGTGATTGATTATTCCTTATATAAAATAAAAAAAATGAAATGATAATTAAAGTCAAAATAGTTAAGAATTGATCGTATAGTCCTTTGGAAGAGTAAAAAATTTTCAAGAAGATCACATATAATCTATGGAGTGCAATTAGAAGTTAAAAGAGTATCAAAGTATTGCACAAGTTTTGTTCCAATTTCTCAGTTACATGTTCCAACAAATTTTTCACATAGAAAACATTCGAATTTGAAATGGTAATTCTAGAAAATTGCAGCCTTTGGAGTTAGCTTTTTAAAGCATTTTGAATCACCTTAATTGGACATCAAAAAAGAAAATTATGATGAAAAAACTAATCGCTGATTGGGGACAGCTCGCTGGCCGTCCCAAAGGCGCTCGAGCGACGATTCACCGGACAGTCACCCTAGTTCATGTAAAACTGTTAATTTTCTATCTCGATCAACATAAAACACTTCAATTATAAATATACAAACCATGGAATGCCCTAAAGCATGGTTTTACATTATATTCATTATATAGATCATTCTTTGAAGATCATAAACTCATTCCAAAATATCTCTTGATTCAATCACAAATATATTTCCATATTTGTTCTCAACTATTGTGTTTAATTGATTGAACCTTTGTTTCAAGTCAAGAGAACATTCTTTGAAAATCCATTACATATTCCAATAAATCTCTTGCCTCAACTATAGATCAAAACACAATGTTCCAACATCAAACAAAGCCTTACCTTCACCTATAAATCTTCAGAGTTTTGAAGTATGGAGAAGAATTGCTTAGAGTTTTGGCGTTGAAGAACGAGGTTCATTCTTGTGATTCAATGAAGGAAAAAGTGGCTCAAAGTTCTAGGAAGTGTGGGTGTGCACAACCAAAGGAATTCTTTGATGATTGACAAGTTAGAAGGTTAGAGTCAGCTAAGGTTTATTAGTGTATAAACTAATTATACGTTAACTTATCGAGTGGATCGTTTACTGGGAAGTTTGCCCAAAGGTTTTTTTTATCTTGAGTAGGAATCTTCTTCCGTGATCAATTCCTAGTGTTATTTATTTTATTGCTTTGATCTGAATATTTATTTGATTGACGCTTATGATTGATTAAATTAAATTAATTACTTAATCACCTAGAAACAATAATTAAATTACTTGTTGCTTGTTATTGATTAATTCCACATGATGAGGTCTAAATATAAAAATCTTTCACCTATATTTTCAAGAATGTCCAAACAATTTATAAATAATAAACATGACTAGATGAATGTATATAAATATAAATAATATGGAAATTATTCCCAATCATCAATAAACATTTTTAATGTTATCAAATCATTGAATCACCTTACACTAGTGTATAGCATAAGAAAAAAAGATCCAAAATTATTGGATATGAACAAAATATAATTCCCTACGAAAAGACAAGCATATGTCCTGTAGAATTTATATGTTATTCTAAACGTATCACTATTTATACTTTCGTACATGGAATGTTTTTAGGACGAATTTTCAACGTGGTTAGAAAGTATATTGACAATTATTAAAAAGTACTTATTTGAGATTCGAAAAGACGTATTATTCTCTCCCTTAACGCTATTTTCTATAGCACTATTTTATCATATTTACCCTTCGAAAAATATAATAAAAGATGTTTCCTCAAAGAGCATGTTGTTAAGTCTAGAAATTAAAAGCTTCTAACATATTTAAGTAACTTATTTTTCAAATATTTGTTTACTTATAAGTAAACTTAAGTATAACCAAACATGCTCTTCCAAAACAAATAGTTGAGACACAATTGGCCATGGGGAACCTTGTTCTTGAGCACTTTTGGCCAACCCCATATTTTCAAGAAACTCCCAAAAACCTACAAAACAATAGTTAGGAACCCTAATTAGAACTAAGCAAAATAATTAATTGGGTGGATACCCAATCATTCACATAATATAAAACTATTCTTCATTATTTTTTCAAAGCACCTTATGCTAGTGTACTTGGTAGGTTGGGCCCACCTTCCAAATGTTTAGTGCTAATTGTATGAAGAATTCCATTATAAAACACCACATTAAGATAAACTTTACAAAATGCTTAAGGCAAAAGCTTTAATATGGGAATTAACATGGGACATTGTGTCTCTAGCATTGTTGTCTCCATGTTGTTGAAGCGTGTTACTCACGCTTCACCCCAATAAACATTTTTTTTTCTCCAACTTGAATGGAGTTACAGCAAGATTCTTCAATAAAACTACAACTTTTTTTTACTCAATTTGCTCTTGCTTGTGTTTTTATGCATTCAGACCCCATTTGGTACACATTAATGTAAAAAATGAGAATGAAAAATATAACTATTACAGATGCCGTACAAGATATATAAAGTCAAATATAGTGGTTTGATGTGATGGATAACAGTCATATTTTTCATTTTGATGGAAAAATAATGAGAAACAAATGGGGGCTCAATAGGAATATGTAATTAATATAATGTTTATTTATCTATTCAAGATGTATATTTAAAGTATCACGATTTTATTACAGAACTTAAGAAGGGAGACATGATCGTAACCCAAAACATGGTTGCAAAGAATTAATATAATGTTTGGTTGAGATTTAAAAACTGAAATCTTTTATTCTCAAATGTTCAAATATGTTTGAATAATTTACTTTCATTCTCACATTTCAAATAGAAAAAATAATAATTTAAAAAAAAAAAAAGGATTGGTAACTCTTACAGTACTATCATTTAAAAAATATATATATTTAAAACTTGCATTTTTTTACAAGTATATCTTTTAATTAATTTTTTTTTTTTTTTTTTTAAAGTTTAGACAAAGTATTGTGTCAAAATGTCT